GAAAGAACAGGTGTTTGGAGGATCTTTCCTACACCTGCTTCTGGTCTCTATTGTATTTTCCAGCTTCACTATGGAATCTAATGGCCTCCCTGTAGATCTTGTTGGTTGCAAAAGTAAAAAGAATTTGAGATTTTTATGAATCCTGAGTCAAAACATACAATATTCCTGAATCATCTGCAAAAAGCCATTGGTGAGGAACCTAATAAAAAAATGAAAGACGTTCTTTGGCCATTTCTTCTGTTTGCAGGGGAAAAAACCCAGAACTTGGGGATGCGAGTGCTTCTTCATTCCTTTATCACTGGTTAAAAACCCAAGAAGTTGAACTCCTCAGCTACCTGTGTTTTGATATTCAGAAACTCTTAATTTATTTATCCTACTTTTCAATACATGTAAAAATATTGGAATTTGAGAAGAAGCAATGTTATCTTTTCTCACTTAAAAAGATGATGCTTTCTGTGTGAAATTAAACAGGATATGAAAAGACTGTTTAAAAAATAATAAAAAAAAAAGTGCAAAGGCTGTTTGCCAATATAAGTTAAAACTACCATCTGTCATCTTTAAATAAGAATAGAATTCCTCATTAATCAGTTTGATAATCAGTAGAATATTGAGATCAAGAATTACTCAGTTGGCATGGTTCCTATAGTTCATATAAAGCATGAATATATCCCCTTGTAATAAAACGTGCTTGATGTGATGGTTTCCAGTTGGCTCTTGCACTTATTTTATGAAGGGCTAACATATATCACAACTTCTGACACACAAATTTGGAATAAGGCAAAAATTGTAGAGACAGTAGATCAGAATTGAGGAGTCTATGTCACAAAAGAGCAGTAAAGTATCAGAAATCTGAATCAAGTGAGTATTTTATGGAAATCTGTCATGGACTGGTAAGGAGCCTCTCCGACACTCCTGGGCAAGTCACATCCCCACCAGCTTCCATTGCAGCTCCCCTACAGGCGGACATTATCTTGTGACTTACATGCGGAAGGGGAAATAGTACTAATTCTGTCAGCTTTCTTTGCAGTCAGAAAATAGTTTGCACTTTTTCTCAGTGGAATCCCATTTGTATCAAGCCCCATGACTATCTTAAGGAAGGGAACGGATTAGTGTAAATTCACTAAAGGGTGATATTTGGGCTTTAAATTCTGGTGGTGCATCTGAGGTCACAAGATGTACCTACCATGAAAGGTAAAACATAAATATATTGGGAAGTATAGTAATGTATCTTGTATTAGGAAGCTTAATGAATTAGTCCTTTTCCCATTTTTCAGTTCGGCCTTCTCAGAGTAACAAATCAGGCTCCTGTATAGAGATAAGGTACTTCCGTTGTGCCTCCACGTGGATTTAATGCTCATTTTATGTTTATCCTACTTATGGAATATAGAATAGGAACACTCTATTGTAAATCTTCCAGGCTCTTCTACTCCCTTTTTTTCATTACTCCAAACAGATTTCACAATTCATCTGGATTAAAAAGTAAATATTAAACATATGAATGAAAATGCTATATAGATAAAAATAACCAGTGTGTGAATACGATAATGTATCATTCTTTGCACAAAACCAGTTTTCTGAGGTAGGGTCTGCATGATACTTTCCTTAGTTTTACACTCTTTATTCTCATTGATTTTAATAGCTATTCCTGACTGGCTCTTTGGTACTTAAACAAGTTAATTTTATACATAGTTCTAAATTTGTGTGTTTCACTGAAAAGCAAATATATGACAACACCCTGCTTTTCTCACAGCATAGGCCCCAAGGAGTACAGATTCATTCTTAACATTTTAACAGGCAGGATACCCATAATACAAGATATATGGGACAATGAGCACTGAGAAAGCCCTGAGACCATTTCTGTTGCAACACTTTAACAGTGACATCTGAAACAAAGAATGGTAGTTGGAATTGCTGACAGAAGTTACAGGTTTCAGTGACTGACTAATGGCTTGTGGTATTTACTCCCTCAAAAAAATACACCTGCCTTTGGGGAGGGTGAGGGGTTGCAGGTAATTAGAGGAAGGCAAAACTTTTCTATTTGCACGGTCCAAAATACATGATAATGCATGAATATTTTTCTGCAAAGTTTGTATTCCAATATTAGGAGGTGATCGTGTATTTCTACGTTCCATTAAATTTACTTTCTTAAGAACATACATGTCTAGCTTGATAAACATTGTTAATGGATCGGATTTGTTTGTGCTGCAACCGATTGTAGAAGCCAGTGAAGTTACAATAAGGTTTAATTAGGTCCAGTATCTTAAGACAAATTCTTGTGCACTTTGAAATGTGAGCCATTTGTTTGAAAAGCAGAATGATGCTACTGGTGATCTTGTGCTGTTCTCGACCATTTTTACAGATAACAAGATTGTCTCCCATTTGCTGGTGGCTGAACCAGAGAAGATCTATGCCATGCCTGACCCCACTGTTCCAGACAGTGACATCAAAGCACTTACCACTCTTTGTGACCTGGCAGACAGAGAACTGGTGGTGATCATTGGATGGGCTAAGCATATTCCAGGTACATACAGTATTTGTTGCAAACAGGTGACATACAGAAATCGTTGCATGGGTTATTCTGTTCTGGTAAAAAATGTTATTTGTTCCCTCACTACAATGCATAAAGTTTTCTTAAGACTCCAGATTATTCACACAGGACATAGGTTAGATGATAATATATCTTACCTTGGAAATAGTATTATTGTTGCTATGAGCGATACTATGTTAATAAGTTTTACATGCTGCTCAGTGAATTAATTTTTTTCACGTATTACTTCTATTAAGATAAACTTGCCTTGCTATCCAGAGCATTAGCCTGGTGTGAAGGGTAGTGTACGTGCTCTCCTCTGTACTCACCTGATTCAGTGGTAGTTGAATGTAAGTCTCGTTCCTCTATTCCATAAAGGCAGCACTATCTTATGCTGACCACAGGAGGTGCAAAAATTCAGTTATATTTTGGCATGGCACAGAGGAATTGTTCTCTTCATTGAATGAACTAGTGTGACAACTGAATTGTACCAGCAGTTCAGTAGAAAGAACTGAATTGTACCAAAAGGTCTTTTCTTATAGCTTAGTAGTTCCTTGGTCTGCATGAAGTGGACTGCGGTCTACATCATGTGAATGTGTCGATGTTATAAAAGCTGAGTGACACTCTTGTTAGCAAGAAGAGTGGGGGTCGTCAAAAGTAGTTTCTCAGAACATTAGCTATTTCTTCAGATAACATTTCGGGTATATTTTATTTCCCCCATTGCTGAGGTATTTGTGTTTGCTCTGTGAGCTAGCAGACAAGCTTATAGAGTCTCCAGGGTTCTCAGTCTGTCACCTTCCAGAAATGGCAAAGTCACACAAAAAAGATTGGCTTTTTTTCTTGTTTCTTAAGGTATTTTTCTACTCCAGAAGATGAGTGAGCATGTTGGTGTGTTTTCATCAGCTCATTAGTTTTCTAAATTTGATGGTTGAAACTTATTGAACATAAGAATGGATAACCTTTAATTCCTCTAAGTAGTATATCATCCTGATTTTAGATGTGATTTTGGGATACCTTAATAATAGAATAAGCAATCCAGTCAGTTGTTTATCAAAGTTAAATGTATTTTATTTCTAATATCAATAGAAACCACAAAGAAATAGAAATAAATAGTCTTCCTGTTTTTTTGTTTTCCCTTGTGCTAGTCAGCACAAGGCCTTAGTTCTTCTGGTAGGTGCTTCTGGGTCATCTTTGATAAATACAAACACTAACAAAGAATAAAATACTCTGTACATTTACGGAACATTATTTTACTTTAGATGAGCGACAACAACCTACAGACTCTAAAATAGTCAGTATGCGACACAGCTGAAATTTAGTCATTCTCTGTGCCACAAATGGTGTATAAACAAGCTTTTGTATCACAAGCAATGTTTTTCTGGTACAGTTAACTTATTTCTGTCTCCTTAAACTAGTTTGTCTTTATGCTTTGAATGCTACAGTAATTTCTTTAATCAAATTGATGGAAGTCCCTTTCCCAGCCCACACTGAAACCAATTTATTGGTCATGATACGCCAGCTATGTTGCTAACAGTCGTAACGAACTGTCAGGCAATATCGCAGTGAAGCTAATTTGAAGTCATTAGGTGTGCAGCGTTCAGGCAACAATTTGTTACAGTGGTTAGGAACACAGCTGACATTTCTGAATGGCTTTGTTCAGAGCAGTTCTAGATGAGCCCAAGCAAATTGTAAACTAATTTAAACATCACTCTATATTATACTAGCTACTTTGTCTTACACTGGTTGCTAATAAAGCACCCCAAATTAAGTCAAAATGAGTTAAATAAGTGAGTTTGAGTTTCATCTTTGGGAGATACCTAGATCACCTTAACCAAAATAGAGTAGCTCTCAAAGAAGTCAGCCATGCTCCATAGTAGTTTCAGGGCAACTTTCGTCAGTTTTATTTGTCAATATGTTTTGTAGTTTTGATTTGGCTGCAGGGGTAGGAAAAGCAGAGGGATGACACTGAGCTGCCTTTAAAATGATGGCTTTGGTTAGCGTGGAAAAGGTATTGGGTGCTGTAAACTGGCCTTGAAAATTTAAAGTCTGCGATCTGAACCAGTTGAGGAACATTTCTGCCATGAGGCAGCCTTTTATTACAAGGTAAACTCAAAAACACACCTGCCATGGTAAAGTCACACTAGCTAAGTTTACTCACCTGACTCCGTTTAGGAATGAGAAGAAGAAAAAAAAAAAGGAAATAAAGACAATCTTTTCATAAGCCTTCTGGTAACAGAAGGAAGTGATAAAATCTGTGCTTGTTACCTGGCGTTTGATCACAAAAATCAAAATGCAAAAGGGCTTGACATGCTAAAGGGCAAATGGGATGAGCTTTTGTAGCTTAGTTTTGAATGATGGAGTACTGCTGAACTTGGACTGCCTACGCTCAGCTAATGTCTGGCACAAAACAACTTGTAGAAGAGCCTGGATTGGTGCTAGCTGCCTGTTTTCTAAGCTAACAAATGTTACTGTAGGCAGAAACATAAGAGAATTGGAAAAAGGATGGGTTAGAAAAAGAGTGCAAATTGCATGAAAGTTTGCTGTAGCTTAGCGGACTAAGTAAATCCTTGGCGTAAATCTCTTGGAATCGATTAATTATACCAGTAGTGAATTTGTGCCTAGCACAGCAAAGCAGCAATCAGCAAATCTTTCTTTACTATAGTGATTTCTTAAGATTCAGTATAATTAAAGGCCCTTATATATCAGGTGCTTAATAACTAATAAAGATCTCGGCTGTAAAGCATTGTAATTCAAAGTAAAATTTGTCTTTGTGGAAGAAACCAAAATAATGTGTTTGCTATTCTAACAGAAAGTCTTTTAATGAGATTATCTGTAAAAAGGTAACAATGCAATATGCATTCTGCCCTGGCCAACTGTTTCCCATTGCAGTCATGGACTAAAAAATGTTTTAAAATTATAAAAAAGTTCAAATGCTTTCGTAAAATCATTAGTATTTTTGTGCTATTGGAAACATTTCAATAGTTGCTTTTATTGAACAAGAAGCCTATGCCATCTACAAAAGGAAATATTGAAAGAAAAATATATATGGAAAGCCTTTATCAGTAAATAGAATTAGTCTCCTTGCATTTATAAATCAAATAAATGGAAAGTGTGTTGTTATGAAACATGACCATGTCTTATCTGAAGAAGAAAAAGATCACAATGGCATTAGGAAATGCTTGACTTTAGTTAGAGGAGCGTAAGGGCACAAGAACAGATGATGGTGCCCTAATAGCCCTTTTTAAGAATGACAGGGCCCCGCCATTAGCATCCTTTTATATCCTTGGAAATTGCTCATGCCTCGCTTTTCTGGTTCCTATCTGCCTGACTCTTTTTTATTTCTCTTTCAATTTCATCCGCGCTCGGATAAGCGCATGCTAACACAATATGATTGAGCTGTAAAATGGAACGCTGTCGCCTCTAATCTCTTTTATGTAGATATGGAGGTACTTCCACACTCCACTTCATTCTCTCTCCATTGTTGGCCTTTTTAGAATGTGTTGCCGAGTAATGGAGGCTCAGTCAAATATTAGAGCTAGGTTTCACAGGGTGTGATAAGAAGATTATCAGTCCAGCAGTCAGATCTATTGTTGTTCTTTGTGTCAGATTAAAATATTCCGATGTACTGTAACTTCGTTAGTAAAATACTGAAGGTGCTTATGGAGAGGCCGATGCTGCTTCGTCTCCTGCCTAATGAAACAAAACCCCTAGTAACTGACCTAAATAAATTGTAAATATATTTATGAAGCCTCTGCAAGACTTTTTTTTTTTTTTTTAATTTATCTTTTAAATAAGAGAGCCATGCTTAATTCAATATTTACTGGTGGTTGAGTTTCCTACCCTTTGCATTGTATTTTGGGAAGATTCCATTTTATATTGGTTGCGTTATATTAATTAAACTCTTCTCCAGTATGGGGTGGAATTCTGCTGATACCTAGTCACAGTATCAGAGTCGTTTAGGCACAATTTCGGTAATGTAACTATCTCATTGACATTCAGCAAAAATGTGCAATGTTCTTTCATATTAAGTGGAGGCAGGAAACATTAAGCTCTTAAAAATGTGCATAACAGGAAGCTAAAGACAGAATGTTCTCTAAAAAATTTGCATGCATGAAAAAACATCAGCCAGACCATAGAAATCAACTTTTTGCACTTAAAATGAAAAATTTGTTTGGAAACAGTAAATCAGACTAATACATCAAAAATAACTAGTTACATTATTTAGTAAAATAAGCCTGCTTGTCTTCAATTGTGTCCCTGTTTTGCTAGCAGTAACAGTGTTCAAGAAGGGGAATATTTAGAAATTGATACTGCCACTGGTGATAGTATTAAAAAAAAAAAAAAAAAAGAGGACATGATTTTGATGGAGCAAATCCAAGGATGTTTTGAATATTTTAGTGTTAATGTTAATGTTTTATGAAACATTATTGTTCCAGCATACTCTTTCTGGAGGACAATATTTAAGCTTTCCTTTCCAAAGCAGCTCTCGGGGGTATAGTTTAACATTCTAATACTGAACAAGAACATGATTTGCTGCAGAGCTGTCATTTCGAAAATGCCCTTTTCTCATCATCTGTTTCAGAAATACCACCCCAGGTAGGTAAAAGTACAGAGAAAAAGTTGACCATAATCACCTTTGGAAAGCTAACGTTCAAGAAAGCATGAGAGCATGCATGTATGGTACATCCATGCAGATAAGAATTAGGTCTATATGTACCTGTTCTCATGCACATAGTTGTTTATGCATCTACATCTTAGTGGACAAACAGCATGTGTTTAAATGACAGGGAAAAAATGCTGAATGTTACTTTAACGGTAGTATTCATATCGGTAGGACTTTGAAGACAGACTGAAATCATTTGTTGGAACTACCTGGTATATATAATGACATACGTTTTGGCTATAGCCAGCATCCTGTTTATGCCCAAATCCTTCTCTGGATTGTTAGTGGGACAGCTAATCTCAGCTCTGCAAGGGGAATAGATGTCCTCCTG